TTACGCAGCTTGCCTCAACTTTATAACAGCCTGTGCCGTTCTTGGTTACCCGGGCAACTGCCTAACCGGTGTAACGTCGATAGAATGAAGCGCAAGTCGGGATTTTACGGGTGACCTCGCGAAAGTTCCTAAACTTGGTCCTTTCTCATCCTAGCTTGACACTAACAACGGCGGAGTTATACTGCATTGTTACTGTCAGAAAATTTTCTGTCTTCATATGCTGAAAAAGCTATCAATTGGAGGGAAGCTAATGTAAATTAAAAGTAATTATTACATGATCACGAAACATCGATAATTTATGTAAAAAATATCTCTATGCGGCGCAATTCCATTGGAGACGGAAAGGCCGTGGAATTTGAGTACTAAATATATCCTGCATGGGTTGGTTGCAAGTGCAATAAAAGTTTCATCGAAGGTCTAATATGTTAAATTGACTCTCTTGTGTCATTTTTCTGAAGTCACTTCCTTCTGATTTGCACGCCACAGTCGCACCGCCCCTTCCATCAGCAGGCTGTAATTCTACTGTATTATGACACTCGTAACGTCACTACTTTGCTGAACCGAACACAACCCTGCTTTGACATAAGTTTGAAATGTTTCAGGTCAGTAGAAGCAGACTGGTTCGTAAAACTCGAAGAATTAGGAGGATTGCTATTTTTATTGGTATCGAAAACTGGCGATTTGCTAAACTCACATTTGTGCCTTCTGTAGCGTCCAAAATTGCATTTACTTTGACGGGCTGGGCATAAAGTCAAGTTGATTCGAATTAATATCGAAATCGTTCCTCTGTTTCTATCCAACACCCTTTCATATTGCGTTATGGTGTGGTTGAGCAGTTTAATTCCCAGATGATCTTCACATGCCACAGTGTCCTCTTTAATTTTCTATATTGACATCAAAGGTTTCTTCCTACCCATTGCCTTACATGCTTCTATTGAAGCTACGTTTGGACCGAGATCCTTTTTATTTTTTGTTCAATCCAAAGCTTCAATGGATGAGATCTCTGATTAATCTCTGATTTCGTATATTCTCTTCTGAAGTCTCTGGAATGTCCTTCGTTTAAGAGGGTTTGAAAGCGTACTCGCCATCGCTTGTAAGTATGTTTTTCATCCGTCATTATCACTCCGTTGTCTTTTATGCACCTTACTGTACCAATGTCTTGTGTTATTCTTTCTCTGAATTTTGCTATGCCATCAACATCTATCTGTTCTTCCCTTGCTACCAGGTTTTCTTCTAGAAATGCTTTGAATTTTGCTTGGGCGACGACTGTTTTTTTTCTGTGTCATATAGTTCAAAATTTTCGTTTATGGAAAAGACAGATTCATCCACCCTTGATTGTAATTTCGACATAAATGGACAGTTTGTTTCGTGTCGCATGCATCCAAACTTCCAAATGCGCGGAAATGTGTCTTTCCATTTCAGACACTAAAATTTTTCTGTTCTTCGGAAATTATTAACATCTGTCAGTTTTTCTAAGAGTTGCCATTCTCGCCATGATGATTAGACGTCATGCTTTAAAACAGGTTTCGCTGTCCTTTCCTTTGAAGTTAAAACTGACAGTTGACCCTTAACTCGGAGCTTCTAGTTCAGAGAGGATTTTCATCAAGAGAATTGTCTCAAAAGCCACAAAGAAGTTCATCATTGACTCGAGTTACCACGATTCGTTAGCCTCCAGATGTTGATCGTTATCTGATCGACTGGCGGAATTGCCATTGTTGCTGGATGTTGGAGTACTGAAAAATTACGTAATCTGGAATTGAATTTTGACCACATCGGCACAGAAGCATTAAATACTAAGTTTTGAAAAATATAACAGCTGAAGCTTTAGCAATTGTTGCACTTTTCTTTTTGCTTTCAATATTCGAGGCAACGTTGTAATTCTTAGTGAGGACAGAAGGTAACTTGAGATGACGGAAAAATAGCAGCAGCGTTAAAATTGTGAAGTTACTGCGGAATATTTGCAGATATTTATTGACAACGATGTGTTCGATGAAACTAATCGTTTCTACGGTTTTTTGTCACATCGATCACCCGTTGATTCGCTCATACTTTCTACCTTAAGTACCAAGCCCTGAGATATTTAATATCTTCATGTTTCCAAATGATTCTTTGCGGAAATGTTTTCTACACTTTCGAAGCAAACTGCTGTCTCTTGTACACCAAAGTTGGAAGGTATAATTTTTCGTGAAAGCAAGTTTTCTTAAAATTTTTAGTTCAAGTAATAAGACGAATTTTTATTCAAAAATGTCTGATGTGAAATATACGGCCTGACGTTTTGCACTGATCACAAGTAAAATTGCAGTATATCATGAAGTAATGGTGCAAAAGTTGCAACTCACATCTCACGGACGCTTGATGTTTTGATTACTTTATTTCTTTCTAAACCTGCAAAACGCACTTAATGCTATCATGCAAAAAATTTTTAACGGACGAGTTGTTTGGTCAGTCTGAATTACCTCGCAACAGACCATTTTGCATTGTGGTAAAATTGTGGTATTGTAAACTGTCCTGCATCTTTGAATTTCAGCGCCGAAACAAGTCTCAGTTATTTAATAAGTAGTTGGCTTGTCGCACTGTCTTTGTCACTAATCAATGTAGTATAAATCTGTTCAATGAATGTTAACAGTACGAGCAATGACTCTTTTTTCGTCTATCTCTGATCATTGTTTAATGCAGTATTTTTCAGCCACAGGTGGTTGAAACCGTTCCACTTCTTTCCACTGAATGTGAATTTCCGTCGCTGCTCATCGAAGGAAAGGTTTCCGTCGAAAAACAGTTGAAGCATACGAATTTGTTGGGGTAATAATTTCACTTACTTTTCACTGGCGTTATTTCACTTACACATTTTCTTCGTTTTTTCTGTTGGCGTAAATTAGTAATTATTCTCATATTTCGTGATGCCTTGATAGTTAACTGATGGATGACCTGACATGTCCCATGTGACAAATTCGCATAGTAGAAATGATGGCGTCAGGGTTTCCCCACAGATGATAAAACTTATTCATAAAACTGGAAATGCAGTGAGTGCCAATGCCGGAAAACTATTCCTTCTTAACATGGACGCTGACGGAATGATTAAACATCTATGATCTAGATTAGACATGTTTTATCACAAGGCAGAATCAATGGTTTTCGTCTCAGTATTAATTTGTGGGAATCGTTAGTTTCTTGAGCCGCTAAGCAGCAGGTAGCTGAAGCAGTGAAGTTCAGAGCAGTTAATTTTAGGTGACACCAAAAAGAACAGCCGTAATGCTTTTCTTAAGGAATTTGTACATTTTGCTTTGAATTTATTCTTCTACGACGTTGCTGATTGAGCGGTATATTTTATGGATATTTAGCGTTGGCGATGCAGATGTGTTGCAGAGAAAGTCACCATCCACTCAAAGTCTCCATACAGTATCTGAAACCGAAGCTGATACGCTTGGTACTGCAGAGATGGTCACTGAACCTGATTCCAAACCCGAAGTCCATGCTGATTTTACTTTCAAATCACCTCCAATCATAGATTTAAACGTCAGCATATGGTGCAGCACCTATGAGCAGCAGGCCAGCACTTCAGGGATGCACTTTAGTACTCCCATTGGCAAACAGTCTTTTGATGTGGCCAACAAACTGGACAAAAATTTTCAGCTTTGTTTTGGGCAGTACTATGCTCATATTCCTGAGACGTCTTTGCCAGTGTCATGCTCACCATATTTCGTCTATGGGTCGATGAACCATCTGGTGGAAAAGTTAAAGGCTGCCCTCGACCATATGGGAGTCGGTTATGAGAAACACTCAGGACCGTTGAGTGATGACAGTCACCCGCTGTACCGGGTTCATCATATATCGCTGCAAAACAATGAAAACGTATGTCTGAACGTAGGTTTCTCTCCAAGCGCAATCTCCAATTTTGGGGTGAATGTGGACTTCTCATATGTCGAAGGTTACTACAGGAGTTACGAGGCGCTCTGCTGGCAATTGTTGAACGAGTTAAAGTTGTAAGCAAAGTCTGTTGTCCTTCCTCTATTGCCTGCGTATTGTGATCGTCTGATTTTTGTTTGTTCGAAAGGTCCACGACGCCATATGATTTCCATTCTAGTCATCGTTCAGCACAAATATGTCACGACTTTCGTCTTCTGCAGCGACTTTTTAATTATTTTTATTGTTTTGCTTTATGTACCAATGCACTGTGAGTAAATTTTCTAACATGATCGTTTTTAACTCAAGCCACACTTATGTGCTTTACGAAATTCTACCAGCATCGTGTAATTTTTTAGTGTATATGCGAAAAATTCACTGATTTTGTTTAGTTTCAGTTAACATTTATGCTTTTGAATACAATTGTTCTTATTTAGCTTTGCAACCTTCCATCTTTCATACAGAAAATTACCGTAAAATACGGTTTACTTATTCACAACCCAAAAAATATGGTCAGTTCGGTGACTGACCAACACCGACGTTTTTTGGCACTGTTTTTTCTCTAGCTGCCAGTTGTATCTGTGTCCACCGCGAAGTTCTTGTCTGATCTTCAGGGAGTAGTCCAGCAAAAATCGAAACAAGGCAGCAGCCTCAAGAATGCCGCTCTTAAAGAGCTCCAACTCGGTTTCACATCATCACTCATCACCGGGATTTGTTTATACAGCCGTGCGATATTGTTTGCAAGTTTTGCTCTCGTATCCGCTGAAAATGTTTCCCATTTGATTCTCTGGTAGCTTCTGACACCAGGTCGACCTAGTCGTTTCAGCGAAGGATGCTAACAATAAAGTGATGAACGGTTGAGTTCTGCGTTTTATATGACGTGAACCTCTTTTACAGAGCGTCGTAGATGATACAATTTTCAATTCAGTCATCGCCTTTCTGCATAGACTTCCGTATATCAGGTATATTGGTGCATGCTTCGATGCTCGATGTTCATAATAGACAGTCCTTTCGTTAATCAAAACCGCAACAACTTCATGCCGCTATTTTTGAGGTCGCTAGGTCGTTTCTGTTTTTTTTTTCAGTCACGTCTTTTGCCTTTTCGGTGTCTGCATCGAAAATGAACATTGAAATCGCCCACTGAAATAATTCCTTCCATAGACGGCACTTCGCACATTTTGCTTCTCCGTTTCTTTTCCGCATCCGGACTTATAAATGGCATAGGTTATGTTACTTCTTGATATTTTTACTATCTAGTACCTAGTGGTCAATCGAAAAAAGCCATCACGAAGGTTTTCACCTATGTAGTAGCTGAATTGTCAGTTTTGCACGCGTTTAAATGTAATTCTAAAATTTTCATTGAGTCTGTTTATTTGCTATCTACTAGAAAGCTAATAAAAATCTATTTGCACACCGCAAGGATGATACGTTTCAATGCAATTGGTCCAGTTCCTCACTGCGGAATCGCTATATCTACACAGACTTTTAGTTCTGGTTTTTTCAAGCATTAAAAATGATTCTTAACTTTATGATTGAATCTTGAATGGACCCACTGATTAAAACCATTTTTCAGCATGCAAATAGCAGTGGGGCAGTCGGTTAGAAGGTTGTTTTCGTGTTAGAGTATTGGGTTGAAACCCAAAAATTTTCTCATTAACTGCCAATTCTGTTGAGCAAGAAATTCACCATACCCTGTTTCAGTTCAACCAGACGATAAATGCAAAGGTCACAACTGTCAGTTTACTAACAGTGTTATCACGCGGGTCTGATAATGAAAAAGCGTGCGATCCATGGTTATAATACCATTTGACTCTAATTCATTTTTGATCAACCTCATTAACAATCAGTATAAAACGTATACGTAAATTTAATTTAAAATAAATTCATCTTCATCTTCCATGGTCGATTCTCCTTTCGGATAGCGGAGGCAGACGCATCAGACTGTGTTTCCAACGTTCCCGATCCTCTGTCAGGGTCTGAGCTTCGGCAGAAGACAACTGGAGTCTGGAACGGACTTTTTCCACATATTTCCACCAGGTTAATCTTAGTCGACCCCTGGGCCTTCTGTCGGTCCGATGGGCAAGAAATAGTTGCTTCGCCTTCCTTTCTGGAGGCATTCCCAACACGTGCCCAAACCATCGCAGCTCTGACTTCTCTCATTCTGGAAATGCAGAGGCTGTACACTAAGGCTCTCGCGGATGTCTGTGTTCCAAACCATGCCGAGACGGGTAAGGAGAGACGCGACTCATGTCAGAAAGCCCAATTCAGACGTTTGTACCGGAGTTCGAAACTTTTCAGTCATCGTCTATGACTTATGACTGACAGATAAGAATGTAGATAAAGGTCCACTTGAATACTGAGGGCATATCTTCAGAGTCAGCTCTGATATAGTCGCAGTGGACCAGGCTAGTTCACGCACAACGCCACTGGCTACTCCAATTCGCTGGTCGATCTCCCTCATATTCCATCGCTAGTAAATACGGCATCGAGGTACTTGAACTTATCCACTTGCTCCACTGCCTCTCCGTTAATCTGAAGAGAACAAGGGGAGGAAAACGAGAAGGCACTAGGTTTTTCGTTTTAGATGTGTTCACACGCATGATGATCACGTCGCACTCGGCTGCGAACTTTTCTAAGGAGCACTGGAGATTAGTTTCAGAAGATGCTAATAAAACGAGGTCGTCTGCAAACAGCAACCTTCTCGACTTCACATCTCCTACACCAATACCCTCATCGCCTTGGCAGCTTCGAACTATTCTATCCATGTACAACACAAACAGGACAGGACGCAGCCTTGGCGGAGACGAGTTCCAACGTTGAAGGGCTTTGACCTCACGGTTTTACTCTGACGCAACGTCTGCTATCAGAATACAGTAATTTAGTGGCCCATAGCAGCTAACCATCTATCCCGTATGCTCGCAGGTATGGCCACAGAGTGTTGCGCGGAATACGGTCATAGCTTTTTTTCCGGATAAACAAGACACATGTACAGTGGACTGGCGAACTTCCACGATTTCTCAACAGTCTGGCACAGGGAAAATATCTGGCCTGAGGTGCTTCGACGCTGGAAGCACAGTGCTCTTGTATATTGGAGTCAGCTATTCCGCGGCACCTTTTTTTAGCACCTTTGCGTAGACTATCTGGGAAGCTCGATAACGTAATGCCCCGATAATTGCAGCACTGCCTGGGGTGTCCCTTTATGAACAGGTGTAAAACTAACTGTTCTCCATTCCGCTGGTGTGTTTCCCGTAATCAATGCAGTTTTACAGGCACGTGTAAACCAGCGCATGCCTTTCTTGCCTAATGCTTTGAGCAATTCAGAGCGGATTTCAAGAATTCTAGCAACCTTTACACTTATCAAGCATTTCACCACATGTGTAATTTCAGCTACAGAGATAGTAGTATCCATTTCCTGCAGCTCTTCCTGCGTTGCTGGGGGTTAAGGAGTTCCTCAAAGTACCCTTTCAATCGCCAAAAAACGTCATCATCTTTGGTAAGAGGGTGTCCAGGCCTGTCCTTCAAGACTCTGAGACTGCCCGTCTTTTCACCTCAGAGCCT